AAGACGTATAGAGCACAGTTCTCAACAGATGGGGTCAGCATGAGTCAGAATGAACTCCATGACAACTTGCTTTTTGCCTTATTGACAATGTATTTGCAACCCCTGAGGTACTTTATAGTTTTAGGACTTTTCTATGCATAATTTTATTTCAGCCTTGTTACCCTACTAAGGTAGGCAAAAGAAAGAAAAGAAGAAATCTTGAGAATAGCTGTCTCTCCTGTGACTCTCTTGACTGCTCTTCTGGGTTTGATAATTCATTGTAATGGCCACACAGAACTCACAAATAATACTCATGAATATTGTATAGAGCTTCTGAGGAATGGCTGGTAGCTTTGAACCACTAACCTTGTGGTTCAAATCAACCTTGTGGTCTAGTGCTTATCCTACCATGTAACAGGTTACAATTCAGAATCAGGTACAACTCAGGATACAATTAGTTCTTTGATTAGGATAGCTTCTTCTCAGTTGTGCATGCATGCAGGCCTCTCTCTGGTCCTTGGTCTAACTTCTGTCCTGCTCTGAAAAGTGTTACAAAGTTCTTTGTAACTTTGCCAGTAAGTGGCAGGAGGCACCCCACTTCACCAGTAGGTCGCAACTGGAAGGCACTCAGCTCTCTTGCTCTGTGGGTTGGCATATCCACAGCATTGCTCTATGGGCAGGAAAACCCACTACATTATCTGCTGCCATTTCTTGCCATCTTTTGTGTTAAGGTTCTCTGTCTCCTGGGTCTAGGATATTTTCAGTGCATGGACCCTGGGCCCAAATGACATGTTTAACACCTTGTTGTTGTTGTTAAGTCCTGTCGAGTTGGTTCCGACCCATAGCGACCCTGAACAGGGTTTCCGAGGCTTTTAAATCTTTACGGGAGCAGAAAGCCTCATCTTTCTCCCGCAGAGCAGCTGGTAGTTTCGAACTGCTGACCTTGTGGTTTGCAGCCCGATTTGTAACCACTACGCTACCTAGCTCTTCTTTATTAGTGGTAGTCTTAGAGGTCCATTCTCTGCTCTCTTTTAAGTCCAGCAGGGTGGCAAAACTGATCAATCCCCTCATTAGGATTCCGTACACTTACCTTATTTACATGGTACCAACCCAACAGGGGTTCCATGCACCTTATTTACATTATTAGCAAGCTGTCTAATACCCTTCATGGGCTACAAGCACTTTATTTGCATAGCCCCACCCAATCATTTGGTAGGAGTCACAAGACCATTGTGTTTGTTGTTGTTTTTAGGTGCCACTGAGTCAGTACCAACTGACTCATAGTGACCCTAGCACAACAGAATGAAAACTGCCCAATCCTCACAATTGTTGCCACACTTGAGCCCATTGATGCTGCCACTTTGCCAATCCATCTTGTTGAGGGTCTTCCTCTTTTTCTTTGACCCTCCACTTTACCAAATATGATACCCTTTCCTAGTTACTGGTTCCTCCTGACAATATGTCTGAAGCATGAGAGATGAAGTCTGGCCATCCTGGCTCCCAAGGAACACTTTGGCTGTACTTCTTCCAACACAGATCTATTTGTTCTTTTGGCAGCCCATGGCACTTTCAATATTCTCCTCCAACACCATAACTCAAACACCATTAATTCTTCTACGGTCTTCCTTATTCACTATCCAACTTTTGCATGCACATGAGGTTATTGAAAATACCATGGCTTGTGTCAGACGCATCTTAGTCCTCAAACTGACACATCTTTGCTCTTCAACACTTTAAAGAGGTCTTGTGCAGCAGATTCACCCAGTGCAATACATTGTTTGATTTCCTGACTGCTGCTTCCATGAGGGTTGATGGTTGATCCAAGCAAAATGAAGTCCTTGACAACTTCAATCTTTTCTCCATTTATATGGATGTTATCTATTTGTCCAGTGGTGAGGATTTTTGTTTTCTTTACATTAAGGCGCAAACCATACCGAAGGCTGTGGTCTTTGATCTCCATCAATAAGTATATTAAGTTCTCTTGGCTTTCAGCAAGCTAGGTTGTATCATCTGCATATCGCAGGTTGTTAATGAGCCTTCCTCCAATTCTGATGCCATGTTTTTCTTAATATAATCCAGCTTCTCTGATTATTTGTTCAGCATCCAGATTGAATAAGTATGGTGAAAGAATACAACCCTGTTTCACACCTTTCCTAGTTTTAAACCATTTGGTGTTCCCTTGTTCTGTTCGAACAACTGCCTATTGATCAATGTACAGGTGCCTCATAAGCCCAATTAAGTCTTCCAGAATACTCACACTTAACAATGTTGTCCATAACGTGTCATGATCCACAGAATAGGAAGCCTTTGCATAGTCAATAAAGCACAAGTAAATATCTTTCTGGTATTCTCTGCTTTCAGCCAAGATCCATCTGACGTCAGCAATGATATCTCTCATTCCACATTCTCTTCTCAAAGTGGCTTGAACCTCTAGAAATTCTCTGACAATGTATGATTGCATCCGTTTCTGTATTGCCTTTAGTAAAACTTTACTCTCATGGGATATTGACAATATTTTCCGATGATTTCCGCATTCCATTGGGTCACCTCTCCTTGGAATGGGCACAAATTTGGATCTCTTCCAGTCAGTTGACCAGGTAGTTGTCTTCCAAATTTCCTGGCATAGATGAGTGAGTGCCTTGAGTGCCACATCACTTTGTTGAAAGATTTAGACCACTGTGATAAAGGCCAAATAAAAGAATTTATTTTTTTTACAACAGTAAAAAATGGTGCGAAAAACAAACTTGATTTAGTGGTTCATGGAATCAAATCAAAGAAGTGGATAACTTCTGGAATGGATGAATTCCACTGCTTAACTGTTTAATAATCAGTGCAAATAATTAACATTTTCTTTTAGTGAAGTATTTCTGCTTCCCTTCTCCTTCCCTCATCTCCTTCCTTGAAGTTGGATGTGGCTATGTAACTTGATTTGGCCAATGAAATGTGAGTGGAAGTGACATATGTCATTTATGGGCAGAAGCATTTAAAACTCTGTGAATCATGCTTACTTCATGTTCTGAAGGAAGAAGCCTAAGCCTCATAGTATCATGATAAAATGTCCAGATGATGGAGCATAATCAGCTTGAGTACCTGAATAATTATAATGTGCAGAGGCCCTGCCAGTCTACGCTAGGCACTAGTGTGAGAAATCAACCTTTCTGTTTTGTTTATTTTCCCTTAACTTTTTAAAATGTAATTTCAGTGAAAGATTACAGATCTAATTGGTTTTCCATTCAACAATTCATACACATTTTGTTTCATGACATTGATTGCACTCTTGCCACTCTGCCCTGTGTTTACTTTTCTCATCTGTCCTTCCTGCCTTCTGAACTTTGTCCCTAGACAAGTACTGCTTTTTTGGCATTTTATGGTTGACTGTTCTGGAGTCCTGGTGTGGCACTGGGGGATAAAGCACTGGACTCAAGGTCAGTTTGAACCACAACATCAGTAGTTCAAACTCACCAGCTGCTCCTTGGAAACCTATACAAGCTCACTCTAAATTGGAACTGACTAAATGGCACTTAACAACAGCAATGGTTGATTGTTTTAAGGAGAATGTACCTTCCTGGTGTTAGTGTTTACCTCACAGGCCTTATGTTTGGGTGAAAGTTGAGTCACAGGGTGAGTTCTGTTCTAGGCCTGAAAAGTGTAGAAGGGGTCCCACCAGTCTCTGTCAGACCAATAAGCTTTATCTTTTTATGATTTTGAGTTTTGCTCCATGTTATTCTCCCACGTTATACAGTCAATTTCCCGGTTGTAGTTACTGATATTTGGCATTGTTATTGCAGCATAACCTAGCCTAATCTGATGGTATGAGGCACATTTTCATGATCAGTAAGCTTTTTCAAGAACTAGATTGCAATTTGTACAGACTTCTGATCATATATCCCTAAAAATTGTTATTTTTTTCTGGAAGACAGTGAAAGTAAATTGTTGATTCTTGATTTCCCTCTCCCTTGCTCTCCCCCCAGCCCCCAACTTCCTCATCTACCAAGCTTTCTGGTTTTCAAGCAAATTATTCTTTTATTGGAGCCCTTTCACTGTTCTGACTATTAGAATGGTAGGGAGAAGGGCAGATCTTTTCTCCATTCCAGAGCCTCATCTCAGAACTTCCCCCAAACAACAGTACATCAGCACTGGGCTTCGAACCATAAGGTCAGCAGTTCAAGCCCACCAGCTGCTCCTCGGAAACCCTATACAGGGTTGGTATGAGTAGGAACCCACTCAACTGCACTTAGCAACAACAAACTGACAGGACACTGCAGTGTCAGAGTAAGGGAACTAGGCATGCGCTCCGCTCTCGCAGGTACCTAGGTTTGGCAAACACAGGTGAAGCAGCATTCTCTAGCGGAAGAAGTTTTCTCATGTGGGTACAAGTATGAGTGTGAGGTGTATATCTGTCTTGAGCACTACGTATTTGGGGCAAGTGTAGTACTCCAACTCTGCCCAACTTCTGGTTTCTCAAGCGGCTAGTAAACTTCCCCGCTAGTGCACTGGGTCTCCCATTTTCCTGGGCTCTTCACGAGCCTACCATCTTTAAACATTCGCAAAGGGTTGAAAGTGAGCTGCTAGAGGTTCAGCAACCTGACTGCGGCCGGGATCAAAGGTCAGCAGGGCTGCCAAGAGACCGAGTCTGCGCAGTCCTGCTCCCGCCTTGGAGAGAAAGGGTGGCGGCGACGCGGGCTCCTTACTCCAGCGTGCTCGCAGAGGCGGGAAAGTCTCATGTCGGGTCGCCACGTCCCTCCCTCGGCCTGCCCTCTACCCCCACCCCCCTGCCCTGCGAGCCTGCCTTCCGTTCAGGCTCGGGGGAGGGAGACTAGAAGGAACCTGCGCTTCTGACTCATCATCGCCAGCCTTTCTCCTTTCTCGCGCGCGCTCCAAATCTCAGGACTTTGGACCTGGCCACTAGTGTGAGGGGGCACGGCGACAGCACCTAGGAACTCCCAGCTCCGCCGAGGACCGGCACTCAACCCGCACGGGTCTCCGAAGCTGTCAGAGGAGAGGTGTAGAATCATAGTTAGCTATTGTCTGGCGTGACCGAGACGGAGATACTCCCGTGCGAGGTGACCCGCCGGAGTCTTCCCCGCACAGGGGGCCAGTGGTCGCGTCCGGGGAAATTCTCGGTTAGGCCCTGATTTCCAGTGCTTCACGTCACTCTACAGATACACAGATCCCCACCGCCAAGGGAAAGGCTCTTTTATTTCCCAGCAGGCTTCAGGGTAGTGGGGCATCCTGGGACTTGTAGTCTCTACTAGAGTAAAAAGGAACCGGATGGAAGGGATAACTGGAACCCCTGTTGTTGTTGTTGTTAAGTGCCGTCGAGTCGGTTCCGACCCATAGCGACCCTGTACAGGGTTTCCGAGGGTGTAAATCCTTACGGGAGTAGAAAGCCTCATCTTTCTCCCGCGGAGCGGCTGGTAGTTTCGAACCGCTGACCTTAAGGTTCGCAGCCCGATTCGTAACCACTACGTTGAATTCCGAGTGTTGGTGTGTGCAGAAACCGGGGCTTGGAGTGAATGGGATTGTGAGAGATGGACGGGAGAGAATATTGCGATAGGCAGATATGAAGTTCTATGGGGAGGAGATGGAGAAGGAGGGTGAGGATGGAAGCCAGGAAGTGGCTGTAGCTGAAGGTTGTCTTAGGGATGCCCTGCAGGCGAGTAGATTTGTAGGGCGGTGAGGTGGGGAAGGACTCTGGACCAAGTGTAACTTCTAACGGGAAGAGAAAGTGGCCTGCTCTGAGTGGAAATCTATGGCTTTCCATCGTGCTTCACATCCAGCTTCTGAGCTGCGGAGTGGGGTACTGGAGGGTCTGGAGAGCGCTCCCGCAGAGTAAAAGGGGAGCAGCAGCTGACAGTCTCCCCTTGCCAGCTCATTTATTCATTGGTTCCGTTTGTTGTACTAGCCATCGTGGAACCACACGCCAACTCAGACAGGCCCTGAAAACCAGACAGAGGCATGAAGGGAGCAAATTTTAGGGGTGAGAAAGGAGAAACCTCAGATAGAAGCAACTTCCTCTCCCTCCCCCATTTTTTCTTGTGTTTCTATTGCTCTTCCCATACATACGATGCAGCTTCCTAATGTTCCTTCACTCTTCTAGTTCTAACCCAATTCTCTTCCCCATCATTAGGCAGGAAATGTCCAGAGCCAGAAAGTCAGTAAGTTCCAATCTAGAACCCCTTAATGTCCCTCCTGCTCCACTGTTTTCACTTAAATAAGCTGCTAGCATAGCTAGTGAAAAAAACAAAACAAAATAAAGTTAGCTGGCAGTCGCTTGCTCCTGTGCTTGCATTTCAGCCCACTCTCCATACCTCCTGTAGCTCCTGGTATTGCAGACTCTGGCTCCAGCAGCATCTTGGCTTCCTTTGACTCAACAGAACTAGGGCATATGCTGAGACCAGCACTCCCCCTACGGTGAAGGCCTCAGCACTGAGCTCTAGCACCAGCAAGCCTGTCAGCTGCAGGTAGATAGGACAGAATATACTGCAGAAGACCCAACGCATGTTTGTCTCCACCCTCTTAACTCCAGTTGCCTCCTCATCCTCCCACCTTCTTCATTCACCCGTACCTGGGATGAGGCGATTGGGCCAGGTGTCAAGGCTGTCTTCATCACTTCAACCACCACCACGATGAAGTCCAAAATCAGGTTGAAGATATTGAATATCATCATGGCCCGGGCCTGCCAGTGAATCAGCTCAGCACTGCGCAGCCTAGGGGACTGACTTTTCAGTCCCAAGCCCCCCACCCTCCCCACTGCAGCCAGCTGAAATAAAAACTCAGTTCCTTCATCTCCAACTCCAAATCAGGCCATCACCCTTTCCTACTTTCTTGCTGTCTCTCCTCAGTCCCTTAGGTCAGTCAGGGAAAGCACAGCTGATAGGATTAATCAACACTTAGCCACTTCCTGGGCCTTACTCTGAGGTGTGTGTATGTGTGTATGTACTGTTTGTGTGGGGGAAAGAAGGACAGTACTGTGTTCTCTTCCCCTCTCACCTTCCAGAGGCTTGGTGCTCTGCGCAACTCAAGGGTGACAGTCCCAGTGAGGAGACCCTGAATGGTGAGAAGGGCAAGGGCTGAGCTCTGGCTCCATTAAGGAGCACCCCCCCTTCCCTCCTTGCTCCCTTGAGGTGGGTCTCACCAAAGCTGCAGGCCCAAGGGGCAGTGCTGTGGCCATGTGACAGTCAGAGTTCAGGCAGGCGACTGAGACAGCAAAGGGCACCATAGCGGTTGCCAGCCATAGCTGGCTTACCTGGGGGCCAGGGAAAGGGCAGTTGAGGGAGAACCCTCAGGGATTCTTGTCACTCCTCACAACCCCTGCCTCTTCCAGAGATCAGGAATTGGGATGAATGCATGATGGGGGAGGGTATTCAACCTAGGGTGTAAAGGAAGGAGGAGGTATCACATAATTTTCTGCCTCATGTCATATCTTACTGACCTATACATTTTCCCTGCATGAGGGTGGTGGTGGTTATGCGCCGTGGAATCGCTTCCAACTCATAGCTACCCTGTACAGGGTTTCCGAGGTTGTAAATCTTTACGGGAGCAGAAAGCCTCATCTTTCTCCCGTGGAACAGCTGGTAGTTTCGAACTGCTGACCTTGAGGTTCACAGCCCAATTCGTAACCACTTCGCTACCAAAGCTCCTTCCACATGACGGTAGCTGGTTGGAAATTAAATATCTTGCCATTTTTCATCCCTGTGTTTCCTCCTCCCTCCCACTCAGAGCTAGCATAATTTCTGGCATAGGGTAGGTTCTTACTAAATATGGGTGGGATTGAACTGTGGTACAAATGGACATATGGAAGCCTGGGATGGGGCAGCCTGGCCTCACCGCCAGAACCAAGAGGTGTGCGCTGTGCCTGTGCCTCGCCCACTGCTGTAATTTTTCCAGACGAATGCTGGGTCTCTCTGACTTTTGCTGACCAGCTCTCTCCTCCATGGCTCCTTTGACTATTGAAACTGGGTGCGTCCTAGGCTGAAAAAATGTATTATGGGGTCTGTCTATACAGAGGCAGTATGCTCAGCATCATCTCTTTCAGCTGCCCACCACTCCCACCTCCCCCCCACCCCACCCCCACTTTTAGAAGCAAGGGAGTTGAGGACCAGGGCCTCACACCTACCTAGTATGAAGTAGCTTCTCCGAAGGGATGGGGCTCTCAGAGGGGCCTGATCAGAGCATATGACACACTTGCTCTGGCAGAGACAGGGTGTCAGGGCTGGGGTGTGGTGGGGCAAAGGTCCCTATGAGGACTGAAGGATCCAGGGAGTGGCCCTGGGTAGATACCAGTCTCAGTTCACAAGATACCCAGCCCTGTCTCCTTCTCTTCCCATTTCCTGTTGCCCCCATCTCTCTCCAACCTGGGTTCCTCTTCTGACCACTTGTTTCATCTCCAGGGATGCCATCACCCTGAGCCCCAATCTCCCCCCATTTCTAGCCTTAGTTTTTTCTCTTTGCTTCCTCCTCAAATTACTTACTCTTCCCTAGGGAGATCCCACATTACTGTCTGGATCCATCCCTGCCACTTGCAGCTTTGTCCCCAGACCAGGTAAGATTTAAATCCCTGGTCTCCCACCTCTCACTTCTTGGGTGGTTTCTCCTTCCCATTTTGAAGGACTTAGTGAATTGGGAAACCTGTTTATGGTTGTGATTATTTTTGATTCAGTGATAACTGAAGCTAGAGGTGTATAGAGGATGAGCCCGAAATGTTTAGTCGTGGGAAAGACACTATTGCATATAATTAATATTTTTGAGAGATAGAAGGCCTGGACTAGAATCTTAGCTCTGCTACCTTGTCAATTATTATCTAAGAATTATTGTTCTACCTATTTGAACCGCACTTTTCTCACAGATAAAAGTGGCTAATACTGTGACTGAAGAGTTGTTGACTCAGAGGTAGTGCTTAGTAATAGTTAATGTACTGATGAGGTCATGCTAGAGGGCTTATTCAGAAGCTGAACATTTATTTCTCCAGTAAGAAGCAGAATCCAGACCAAAAACCAAACCCACTGCCAATGAGTTGATTCCAACTCACAGTGACCGTGCAGGGTTCCCACACTGCTGCAGAGGGTTTGAACTGCCAGCCTTGTGGTTAGCAGCTGAACTAACCCAACTCTTAACCCACTGCACAGCGAGAGTGCCTTAAAGAGCAACAGTGGCTGGTCCCAAATATACACTTTATAGATAAAGATTGTTGCTGTTAAGTGCCGTTGAGGTTGAGTTAAATCTTTGTGGGAGCAGAAAGCCTCGTGTTTCTCCCATGGAATGGCTGACTGACAGGAACTGCTGACCTTGTGGTTCGCAGTATGGTGCATATTGTATGGAGCCATCTACTGCGCTCCCGCTCCCTATAGATCAATGGATGATAGGACAGGCCCATCTTGGTGAAGAACATAAGGTCTGGAGGCAACCAAACCTATGGTCAGAATCCAGATCTACAGGGGTGACCTTAGACAAGTTACTTCATCTCTCTGTTGTCCTATCTCTGAACAGCAGCTGATACCAATCTCAAGGGTTGCCATGAGTATTACATATGAACAACTGGAATGCAAGTGCTTGATAATGTTAGAGACTATAATCATCATTATTTATTATTATTGATGGTAGAAGAAAACTGAGCCAGAAGATCCCTGGGAATTACGACCAGGAACAAGTGGCCTTTGTAAGGCACTCTCCCCACTCTGTGCTGGGCTAACTGTTCCTTATTGGAGCATTGGATACACCCCCTCCAAGAGGCTCTGGTAGCATAGTGGTTATGAGTTGGGCTGTTAACCTTAAACTAAGCAGTTCAAAACTAGCAGCCATCATGCTGTGTCCACCTCCACCCCACCCCTCCCAAATAGTAGAAATTACATTTTAAAGGAATCCAGAGAACTGCTACTGGTCTATCCCTCCTGGGTCCCCATGAGTATTAATTTTATTTGGTGGCAATGACCTGACACCATGTGAGACACTGGCCTTGTCCTGAGGATCCTTGGGCTTGCAGGCTGCATAGACTCCTTGAGCCTCACTTTCCTTACCTTTTAAGTGGGGACCAGTTATATTTCACAGTGTTTTCGTAAGGATTATATGCTATTAACTATGTGAACAGGCACTCAATAAATATTGATTAAATCTGAGTATGCTATTTATAAATTCGTAGCCCCTGTCTAGACTACAGGCTCCTGGAGGAAGGGGACCACATCCCCCTCAACTGTGCATCCCCCACAGCGCTGAACATAGTGACTGGTACTCAGTAAGCACTCAGTAAATATTTGTTGTATTGAAGAGCCATTAAAGTGACTTAAGGAATGGAAAATAGAACTCAAGAGGAAGGAGCTGCAATTGTTTATCAAGAACAGAAAGGACCGAAGAGTAACTTTAATAATGTTTCTTATACGGCAGACATTAACTATCTCTCTAATCGCCCCTCCTCCTCCCTCAAAAGAGAGTCAGAAAATGTAAGGGAGAGGCTTTGAGATAAAACCCCAGGAAGAACTTCCCGAGTCTGTGCATGTTGGGGCAGAAAGAGCGGCAGAGCCAACTCCTTGCCTGGTATGTCCGGGTTTAGGGTGGGAGGGGCAGTCCAGCTAGGAGACTGGGGGAAGGACGAGATGACCTTTCAAAATCTCTTCCACTCTCCAGTTCCAATCGTCAGTGCGCCCCACCCCCGCTCCCTCCCACCCTCTTTCCAACAGCGCCCCCCAACCCCAAACTGCCCGCACCCCGCCCCTGGCGGCAGCCTCTCGCGGCTCCGGGGGTTCCCAGCTCCTAGTCCCCGGAGCCAGAACCCCGCTCCGGCTCCCGCGCGGCTCCCAGCCTCGCCGCACCGCCCCCCGC